CCCGATTCGTTGGAGTGGCATGCCAGCTATGCGTTTAGCTCGTACTGGGCCCAGTTTAAACGCCTCGGTGGATCTTGTTACTTCAATGGGCTCGCTACCCAGACAATTAAGGATCCAAGTGAGTAGTTTTATATATTGAGATTTTTATATTTATTAAGTTAAAATATAGAATGTTTTTAACTTGAAGGTTTACCTTTTTTATTTTTTCCAGGTCATGGATCCTGCAAGTTCCCAGGTGTCACTCTTTGAGGATGGCATCTATCCTTTAATTTAGGTCTGTGATGTGGGTGCCATTTTCTATTCTTTTCTACACGATTTAGGTTTAAAATAAGATTACAAATTTTTTTAGGCTAAGGCAAAACCATAGGATTGAAATAGCCACCCACATCACTTGTATTTTATGCAGTTACTTGAGTAGAATAACATTAGTTACATTACTGCTTGGTATGTAACTAGATACTATTTGTTTAGATGAGTACTATTTTCGCATATTTTATGAAATTCTGGAAAGGGTGACAACGGCTACTAATCTTTTTCATAGCAGACACGCAACGGCTATTTGTTGATAAATCATTGTTTTACTTTATGACGCCTGCTCAGTGCCAGCGGTCCCTTGTACCATTGGGGTCCTCAACTTCGAGGAGTGCAGGATAGCTATTTATAGATAGATGTTCTTACTTTACTTTTTGTGTACCTTTTTTTAAGCCCTCAACGGTAATGGTGAACAGTGTAGCACCAGCTGGTTCTGTCCGTACCCTTTTTGAAAGCGAAAAGTCACCGCTCACATGGACCCAAAAATGCTCACCACTCAAAACTGTTTACATCCTGCCAAGTAAAAGATAAACTGAAAAAGAAGTAAAAGATGGTGCGTGCGTCTTTATGTTTTGAAGTAATGACATGCTATTGTTAGATCCATCATCCAATATCCAACAAAATCATCAACCTGATATGACCTTTTTTGCTCATATTGATGTATTAGTTTGATAAATTCAAAGGTAGTTTAAATTAAATGTTAGATTATAGCCCTACTTATAAGAGGCAATTTATCAATCTGCCTTTACTCTAAAGGGACTTTTTGCAAATGCATGAAAAGAAAGGGGTATGAGCATGGTTGGTAATGGTGTTTCTTCCAGGGACCCTGGCAATGGCAATGGCATCATCATACTATATGTGGAAAGTTGTTCAACATTGTGCGCTTCTGCTTCATTCAACTATAAAAGTTTGATTTTAAATAAACACGAGATGTTGTTTTTCATTTCACAAACAGACAAAATAATTAGATAATAACTGTAGGAGTAAACTGCAGTAACAAGAACCATTGAAATACCAGATTGACAGACAAAATCTATTAGGCTAAATAATATTAATAAACAAAAATCAACCACATTGTAGTAGTTGCTGTTACAAGTAAATTGATTAATAAGCCTGATGTTTATTTTTTCCATATATTTTTTTGAAGAACCAGTTCTTAGCTCTTTTGGCAAAACTAGGAGGACTTCTCTTTTTGAAATCACACAGAATTCCAGAGCTTTTGCAAGGATGAAGAAGCCCCTTATCTTTGAGCTTGCTAGATTTGAAACTGACATCACTTACTTCTACATCCTTCCCCAACAGCATGCTAATTAGAGCTAAACATAATAGCCATGACTTCATGTTTGAAACTGCCATGGCTCTCTGCTTGTTCTTAGGATTTTACTTTGATTTCAACAAGTATTTTAACTTGAATATTTTGCTTTGTTTAGGGAACTTTTGACCATTTCTAATCATGTCTTTGACAATAAGTCATTTGGTTATGCGGGAACTGCTCCCTCATCAATACCCCATACAAACATGTTAATATCTCATTTTTCCTATTGTTTTTCAATTTTTTTAATGACAATTTTCCCTTAAGTTGTTTAATTTAGCCTTGTGTTCTTATCCATATAAAAATGCATAAAAGTGCTTGCAATAATGGTCACAGTACAGGCTAGAAAATTGCTTATGTGAAAGTACAAAGTTGTTGTTTTTCAGTTGATGCAGTTCTTTAGTAGCAATAGTATTCATCGACCATAATTTCGATATGGCTACTGGTACATTCAACGCTAATTATTCATCCATCACAAATCAAAGTAAACAAAGAGGTGAAGTGATACATAAAAGACACATTCAATTGAACAAGCGGAGGGCCTCCATTCTTCAAGTTAATTATTTCCACCTTCGGACCCCTTTATTACATCAAGTAAGTCCTTTTGACCACGACTGCCAAAGATTTTTCTGATCATCCGTTTCGTAGCAACGTGACTGGAAATTTTTCTCGAAAGTAAAACCTTCTTAAAAGGGTGTTTGTGTTGATCAGATTCAGACGCATCAGCAACGACATTGTTTATCACCAACAAGCAAATTACTGCCAAGCACAGAACCCATGTTTTCATTTGAGAGGATGCCATAGATTTGCTGGTGAGTGCTGATATTATTTTCTTCTCTATAATATTGTGCTTCATTAGAGAATTATATATAGATATTTTGAGCGTGGTTCTATTCTAACTTAGGAATTAGCTTAGAAGAAACAAGTTTTGACATTTCCTAAGTGTACTTCGGAATAATTTGATCCTGCGGAAATACCTTAGTAGTCATTATTATTTTAAGTTATTGTAATTTCCCTTGTATCAAGTCGCAAGAGTTGCACATGTACAATTGAGCATTAAAACTGGACAAAAATAAAAAAAATTATATTAATTCCAAGTCAAATATTTAAAGGAATATAAAGAGGAATATTGTTGAGCACATTTTTGATTGGCTGATTTAGAAAGGACAATCCTTGTTAAACTATGGACTTTAAGCTTGTACATAAGTAAAACCCAAGTACTCAAAGCCCACGTGCAAATTCATTAGCACCCATCGGCCCACGGATAGAATCTCATCGGGATGGCGTAAGCTACTTACACTCGTTCTACTTTTAGTTGGAAAGGAGCCAATTCTCATACCAACAAAGCTACGGACACCGGTATTTTTGCATCGAAAATCTGTATCGGTCTACGTGTCCCTCTAACTCACACCAATAATCCAGACGTGTGATTAAACAATAAACATTTTTCTAGTGAACAGCCGTCCATCAAATATGGACGGTCGTTCACTTACATAGACTCCCGTCCATATTATATGGACAGAGGTCTATTTACTATAGACGGGCGTCCTCATTTAAAGGACGCCTATCCATAAGTAAAATACAATAAAATATTTTTATAAAAAATTAGGAACGGCCGTTCATCCGTTATGGACGGTCGTCCATTCATTTTGGACGGACACCCACAAATAAGGGACGCCCATTCTTAACCCAAATATGAAAATTAAAAAAAAAAAGGACGCTTGTCCATAAATTGTGGACAGGCGACCATAAGGAGTGGACGCCCATCCCTTATTCTGGTTTAAAAAACAAAATAAAAAATTTGGGTTTTGTCTTGTTGTTGCAATAGGTGGAACATTAAATGGAAGAATGGGTTTTGTCTTCTAAATCTATCAGATTCTTCTCAGTCATCAATCTCAAGTTTTTACGAGCTTTTCTCCTCGCAATAAGATTCTCTAGACGTTGGTACCTTTCAAGCTCTGAAGTCCCCAAATCCATGAGATTCTTCTTATCAATCTCCGTCCATTTAATTGTAGATTTACTTTCATCCTCATTTTCCTCCTTTGCCGCTTCTTCTTCTTTCTTCTTCCTCTTCCTCCTCCTCATCATCATCATTATCATCCTCACCTTCTCCTTCTACGTCATTATCACTTTCCTTAGACTCAACGCTTTCAATATCACACTATCAATTCTTTTTAAAACATTAAACCCTCTTCTTCTTCGTCTTCATTCCCCATCTCCTCTCTTCTTCTTTGTCTTCATCCCCATCTGCGCTCTTCTTCTTCTTCGTCTTCTTAGTGATTTTGTTGATGATCAGGATAGATTGACTAGAGTTGAAGATAATGAGGTTGTTGTGAATGGTGATAAACCATCCAAGATTCGCCCAGGTTCTCAGTTGCCAGCCTTTTTTGGTGCATTCACATCTGCTCAGGTGAGAGATTTATTTGATACGGAAATGGATCAGGATAATAGTTCTGACAGGGATGGAACAAGCACCATATTTGGGGAAACTGAGAGTGTCTTTGTCGGGGAAGTAATGAAAAGTCCAGTTTTTAGTGAAGATGAGTCGTCAGACAACTCATTGTGGATTGATTTGGGTCAGAGTCCGTTGGGGTCTGATAATGCTGGGCACTTGAACAAACACCAAATTACCTCTCCCTTACCACCTTTTTGGTTCAGTGGCAGGAAGAACCACAAGCGACTCTCTCCAAAGCCAACATCAAAGATGTATGGCAACCCAATTTATGATGACAAAGAGGTAAACCTGGAGCGAAATGGTGACTACCATGTGCTCTCATTTGATGCTGTCGTTCGATCAGTTTCGCAGGAATTGGACCGTGTGAAGGAAGAGAGTCGACCACCATGGGCACTTGAACAAACTTCAAAGTTTTTATTTGTTTTTTAAAACCACAATAAGGGACGGGCATCCATTCCTTACGGACACCCATCCAAACGTAAGTTGTGGACGGTCGTCCCCAAAGTTTTTTTTTTTTTTTAATTTTCATATTTGGGTTAAGGACGGGCGTCCCTTATTTGTAGGCGCCCGTCCAAAATGAATGGACGACCGTCCATAACGGATGAACGACCGTCCATAACGAATGAACAACCGTCCCTAATTTTTAGAAAAATATTTTATTGCATTTTACTTATAGACAGGCATCCTTTAAGTGGGGATATCCGTCCATAGTAAATGGACCCCCATCCATATAATATGGACGAGAGTCCATGTAAGTGAACGACCGTCCATATTTGATGGACGGCCGTTCACTAGAAAAATTTTTATTGTTTAATCACGCGTCTAGATTGTTGGTGTGAGTTAGGGGATACATAGGTCGGTACATATTTTCAGTGCAAAATTGCCCGTGTCCGTAGCTTTTTTGTTCTCATATTCCTTAGTTCAAAATATAAGTTGGCTTTATAAAATTGAAACGATATTGAGAGGATTAGCATGGCCCTGTGCAAGGATGACACGCACAAAAGGAGAAATGGTCCAAATTTTTTTTATCCTCTTTCTTTTTTAACTTGCAGAGATTTTCTTCCTGAATTGCATGTGATTGGTAGCCGGGTTGTTGAGGTTTTTGTATCTTATGCAAGTCGGAAATTATAGATCACACAGTAACTCTGAGTACAGTTGAGATACAGAACAATGAAAACTGCTTTGCTTTCATATCTAGTAAAAGATTACGTATTCAGTTGTTTTCTGCTCAAAGCTCATGTTTCTCATGGGTCAAAGTACAAAATGTTGTTCTTCCTTCCTCTTCTCCTTTTCAAGTTACTAGAGAATAGGTTACAGGGAACAAATTTGATATAGTGTTGCACTTATTCGACATTAAATCTTCTTTGAAACTGGGCCCATGAGAACCACGTCTTAGGAATTAGGAGCCGCTGTTGTTGACGCTTTTAATAATTCGTCCAAAAATCTACCATAGACACAGAACACGATACCTCAATTTAGTATTAAGGGGGCGTTTGGTTCAGGAATGTTAGATTACTAGGAAGATAGATTACCTTAGAAGATTATTGGGAATCTTTAAAAAAATATGTTTGGTTAGTTGGTGGGTATGTTATATGAATATGTTTGGTTATGGGGAATAAATTGGTGGGTATGTTATTTAAATTACTAAATTGTCCCCCTTTTAAATATTAATATAAGATTCTTTTTATTATTAATTTTTGAATAATTTCTTTTAACCCTCAATATTTCAGATTTAGCTAAAACACCCCCGCTTATATAAAACTTTAATTTATGATGAAATCACCCCCACCTCCTGCCGCCACCGCAAACCACAGCCGAAAATCTCCGAAAGCACCCGTGAGTACCTCACCGTGACGAAGAGGCTTCGATATGGCCGTTTTCGGCCATTTCGATGGCCGAAAACGGCCATATCAGGCCAGATCCCTGGCCATTATGGGCCAGGTCTAGGCAAGATCTGACCATTAATGGCCACGGACATGGCCGTTAACGGCCAGATCTATTCCGGCCAGAATAGATCTGGCCGTTAACGACCAGATCTAGCTCAGACTTGGCCGTTAATGGCCAGGGATCTGGGTGTTAACGGCCAGTTCCATCGATTTGGCCGGAAATGGCCAGAATAGATCTGGCCATTCCCGGCCAGATCTGGTCTGATATGACCATTTTCGGCCATATCAAAGCCTCCAGAGCCTCCCACGGAATTTCGTTCCTTTTCAAGGCTCTGACGATTTTCTGGCGGTGGTCCGTGGTGGTTGGCTGCTGCCGGTGGTGGTGGCTGGGTGGCAGTGGTGGTGGTGGCTGGGTGAGTGGTGGTCTGTAAATTATTTTAAATATAAGGGTATTATTGTCCAAAATTTTAATTAACAAGGGTAAAATTGAAATAGAATATTTATGTAAATTTATTTTAAAGTAGGGGTATTATTGTCCAAAATTTTTATTAATAAGGGATAAAATTGTAACAAAAAAAGATAACCCTGGTAATATCAGAATACCTAAGCAAATGGAGGTAATCAGATTACCTCTTATATTACCAATAGTAACCACTATTGGTATTTAAAGATTACCGGTATCTTATATTACTTGACAACCAAACATGATAATCAAGTAATATAAGATGATATAACCCCAGTAATTTCACTTAACCCCCAACCAAACGCCCCCTAAGTAGTTAATTGACATCAAAATTAAAACTATCAAGTTACGAATTCAATTTTAGTGTTAAGTTCTATAATATTTCAATCATATTACGGTTATTACTATTAGATGATGAAGCCAAGAATTAGAGTTAAAAACCTAATTTTATTTAAACATATGTCTGTTCTACGACATTGTAGTGGAACGTATAAGACCATCTCCAACCTATTGCACCAAATTGGTGTAAGTTTCACACCAAATTAGTGTGATTTTTTGTGTGAAAACACTATTGCATCTCCAACTCATTGCACCAAATATTACACTAAAATTAATATTTTTTAGAATATCCTTTTTCTTTTTCTTTTATTGTAATAACCAACAATTAATCTATTTCATTCATTATTTTTGTATATATTAATTAAAGATTGGAAATGATATTTTTATTAAATAATAATTACTTTGAAAATTATACTAATTTAATCAAATAAACATTACATTTAATATGGAAAAACATTATTTTTGTTTATGTCAACAACAAGGTCAAAGATCTCAAAATAATTCTAGTTATTTCCAATATTTTAATGATCTTAGAAGATCCGGAACTAATCTATCGGAATACTAAATTGTTATTTTAGTTTACGTTGTATTTTTTTTTTAATTTTAGTGTTTTTAAATTAATGTTAATTTTTATTTTGAGTTATTGTAGTTTAATATTTGGATTGAATAAAATTTTGTTTTTAATTTTTTATTATTTTTTGAATTATATTATTATTATGAATTTATTATTATAAATATTAACTTAAATATAAATAATAATAATTTGTTTTTTACTAAGTAAACAGCGCCACGTTAATGAACAGTATTATACCAAATTTGATATTGTACTGTTCATCCACCCCAAATTGATGCAGAAAATGGCGCTGCATTAGAGCACTTCTTTCACGCTATTTTGGAGATGCCTCGTGACCATTCACCCCCATGTCAGGCCTATTTTTCTTAGAGGGTTAGCAAGTCTGGGTACTCGCCCAAATCACACGGAAAATCAACCGATTTTTGGGATTTGGAGCTAGAATCGGCGGTTCCTCGGATTTGACAAATAATTGTAATGATTTTGATTAATTTTCTCATATCTCTTTACAAGTTAGAGTCTTTACTGTATAGGAAGAGATTACATGAATCTCCGATAATTAAGTTACAAATTTATCAAATAAAAGATTACTTATCTAATAATAAAACTATAAATATTAAAATATTCCAATATTCTTACATAAATTTCAATAATTATAGCAATAACCTAAGTAAAGTAAGATAAAAGTTGAAGTGAATCACAAAAATACAATTAATTAAACAAGACATTTTCATCGTTCAATTTAAGTTTTGAAATCCTTCTATCGAAAGATTCTTTCTTCTTTTAAATAGGATCCATCAATTCATAGTTGTTGAAAGATTTATTCTTCTACTTGTAAATGAGATCCACGAATTCATATAGTCTTTTAAATTGTGTATAATATGATTGGATAGTTCTCTTAAAACTAAAAAGTTTTTATGATGATCAGATTCAGATGCATCAACAAGCAACAATGTTTATCATCAATAACTAGACTAGAGTGAAGCTCAATACCCATGTCTTCATATTGGAGGCTGCCATAGCTATGATTGTTGGTGGTATTCTTCTCTACAATATTTAGATTCCTTATGACAATTATATCAATTTATAGATTTTGAATATGGTTAGTACTTACAAAATTATGTTGTAAGTTTTGAAAATTTTAACTTGGACTTGGGGATAATTTGTTGTGCAGAAACACGTGTGTGGTTGACATAACATTAATTTGTTGTAACTTGTTTTGATTGTTTTTTCGTTAATTAGCTAGCATATGGTTATTAACATGAGACCTTGAACTTTTTTTACTGGTATTTTCTTACTTTACAATTATTTAATATTCTATGGTACTATAAGAATTGTTATATTCTTGTATTTTATCAAAATACACTTGTTCCTTGGGATATTAACTTATTTGATAAATGGGTGCCAAAATAAAACTTAACCAATTATTCTTGAACTATTTTTGGCCTGTCTATTACACTTCTCACTATGAGTGTTCAAAAGAACCGATTGGAACCGGAACCGGCAGGTACATGAGGTTTGGTTCCGATTCCTACCCATAACCGGTCGTCAACGGGTAGGTTCTGGTTCCAAATTTTTGGAACCGTTACTATGCAGTTCCGGTTCCGGTTCTTATAGTTAGGAATCGAAATCGGAATCGGGAACCGAGACTAATATAAAATAAAATTAAAGAGTAAAGGGTTAATAAAAACTTTTGTAGAAAAAGTAATGTGAATACATTTATATTTCATAACATTTAAAGTAAGTTGGTTTGACTTTTGAGAATCTATCTTTACAAAGTAATGAAGTTTGTAATTTTGAATTTTGAATTATAATTTGTAATTTTATTTTTGTTAACAAGTTCCAAATGGGGGGGTATTTGTAAGTTTTTAAGGATTTTTTTTTGCTATTTTAAAAACTTTTGGGGGGTCATGTAATTTTACATGGTACCCAGAACCAGAATCGTTGTTACAGGTTCCGATTTTGGGTACCTCGGTTCTAAATTTCAAGTAACCGTAGATTCTAGTTTCGGTTCCTTAAAAAAATACAGGGTACCCAGAACCAAACACCCCTACTTCTCACTACCAAACACAAACAGTATGACAATTTGAACCTTGGTTTAAAAAAGAAGAAGTATAAGTTCAATGAAATCAAAGCTAGAAACAAAGGAGGCCATGGGCGGCAACAGTCGTTCGCTCTAATGGATACTGCCATGAGCCCATGAAACCCCATGGGCCGCTAACTATTTGCCCAGAGTAAAAGTCTTTCAAACCCATCAGCCCATTGCTTCTTCAGGGTTTCTGGGCGGTGCTTAGAATAAGTTATAATTTGCATAGTGATTAATTAATTTGTTCATGTTGGGCGTTGGAGCCACTGGTATTGCCAATCCAATGTGCACCATTACCATTCGGTGAATGCTAACTTCTTTTTCAAGCGAACTATATAAGATTAGGTTCATATTTTTGTCTCTTTTCAATCAAATAATGGAAAATATTTTCCACCTGCTCATTTTCTTATGGTTTAAAACATTTTCTTTTATCAATAATTCATTCAGGAATCTGGATAAGACATAAAAGTAAAAGTTATCTTGACAATGATAGCTAAAATAATCGTCTACTGACACCACCAATAAAAAAAAATCCATCCAACACTGCACCTAACCCATGCATTCACTCACCCACGTGGCAGATGGAGAAATGGTAAACATAAGAAAATACATACACCATAAAACACAGAATCGCAGTCTCCCACGATTTTTCTAAGCCTATCAGAACCAGAGACCCACAAAGTCCAAATAAAACTCTTATCCAAATGGCATATATTGACTCAACTTCCAACTAATCCTACCATTTCAAATTTTTTTTTCTTAGGGCTACCATACTCAGTTGATGGACTGTAGTCTCTCCCTTCACAAGACCGCTCGAACGCTGCCGTTTTTACCTTTCGCGGTAAAATCCAAAGCTCCCAATTCTTTCCCTCCTAATAATTTCACCGCCCGTAAGTCCCTCGGACAAAGTCTCGTTGTTGCGAGGGCAGGGCCCAGTCACTGTGAGTTTAGTAGCAGCCCGTTGAACACGCCGATCGAGTTGAACTCGGCGGCCGGCAAGTTTTTAAGCAGCGTGTTGCAGAACCAACGGCAGTTCTTCAATGTCGCGGTTTCGGATGAGTTGAAACAGTTGGCTGATGATCGTGACGCGGCCGTTACTCGGATGTTCCTGAGCACTGGCTCCGATGAAGCCTCACTTCATAGGTACTATGTTTTTTGTGCATGTGTTTGGAGTTTTTGTTGGTTCAATTGTGATTGATTGTGTGTTTGGCGCTGATGAAACTGGATTAGTGTACTCCACTTGTTAGAGTAACTGGGTGTTGTTGTACAGAGTAGTTCTGGTTCCGCATATGGTGGTGATTCCTGTTGTTGGTAAGTTGTGATTATTGTGTCGGTAAGTTTGATTTATCTTATTACTAAGAAGCTGGTGGAATTTTTTAATTTTCTTAATTCTAATTCATCAAAGTTTTTAATTGTTTTTTTAATTTTTATAATTATGATTGATTAGGGTTAGGGTTTTTATGGGATAGAACAGTGGAGTATTTTAACAACTTATTCATAATTGCGTAATTCGCTTCACATGCAGTGCAGTCCCATCTCTTCTTCTGTAAAAATGATTGCTTTGAGAACTAGAGAATGCTCCTCTTTGAACGGTCTCCAGGAAAATCATGCTTTTCACATGAATGAAGAAGTCTAGATGCTCATGGGTGATGCAGAATATAAGCTTAAGAAGAATTGTAACTCCCAATAGTGTTGATGATTACAAAATTTTAAAAATAAAAAGGAACACTAAGTTAATTTGTGGTTCTGAACCAGGGTTTGACTTTGGATAGATTCTTTAGTTATCATATATTGGGTCCGAAGAAATAGCTCATTCGATGTTGTTACTGGAGTAAAGCTATGTCAAGTGTCAACTATATGATGGATCTAATTTGATAGATCATGCATGATACAGTTAGCATGTTTTCAGCTACCATTTGATTTCATTGAAGTCTCTTGGGTGTTGAATAACTCCTTTGAGTGTTTTGGAATTGAATTCGGGTAAGATATGTGAATGATGTCTATATTGGTAGCCTGGTGTAGTAAATGGCATCAATTTTGTCTTGTTCTCAGACATGTTTAGATATTATTCCCATTCTAGAGTGGAATCCGCAGTAGGATTATTCTGTGATCTTTACATCCATCACTTGTCTCCTACACCTCTTTTTTTTTAAAATTGCCAGACACCAAGTCTTTGTCACCGTTTTTTTTTCCTAATAATTATTTAGTATAACTCATTTTCATATATCTTTTTTGAACGTCAAAAGCTTTTGAAGCTCTGTAGACATAAGAGAGTTTGAGTTGCCTAGAATTACCCAGGACATTCGGTTTTCCTGGGTGCATTAAACTAATAGAATTTAATTACTTAGGAGTGTAGGGTCTATGCTGTCTGATTTTCTTGTTGAGCTAAAAGCACACAGGTGGTGTTAATGGTAAATTCACCATGCCACTTGTCTGAAGCATATATATATTTTTCATGTTCTTTCAATAGCTTGAAACTTATTGATTGATTTTCCTCTGTAACCTTTTTAACTTTATACTGTTTCACCTTATTATACTGTAAACCTGAGTTTCTAAAATCGTTATAGGCTGTCTTTTAAGTTTACTTGCTATTAAGTTGAATTAATACCCGTTGTTTTTACTCTATAATTGTATCAATTCTGAATCTTAAGGTAATGAAAACAATTGCTAGTTGAGGGAGGATTAAAATGTCTCAGCTATGCTTGACATGGATAGTATTGGGCTGTTGATCTGTACCATGCACCAAGGCAAATTTTACTGTTATAGTAACCCCAAAGTTGATTTACTTTATCAGCATGTTTGCAAGCTTTAACAGATTAGGGTAGATGCAACCATTGGAACTTGAAACACCTTGGTGGCCTAAAACAATTTATTTTGAAAGTATGTGTCTGTTGTTATTTATTGTAACAAATCTTTTTTGTGTTTTGGATGCCAGAAGGATTGCCCAGTTGAAAGAACATGAATGCCAAACTGCTGTTGAAGATGTTATGTACATGTTAATATTTTACAAGTTCTCTGAGATCAGAGTTCCATTGGTACCAAAGCTCTCTAGATGCATCTACAATGGAAGACTAGAAATTTGGCCTTCAAAGGTTTGGGAGCTAGAGTCCATTCATAGCTTGGAGGTTTTGGAGATGATAAGGGAACATATCTCTACTGTTGTTGGCTTGAGAGCTAATTCCAGTGTCACAGACAATTGGGCAACAACTCAGATACAACGAGTCCACCTCGGCCATTTATATGCTGCCTCAATCTTATATGGGTACTTCCTTAAGTCAGCTTCATTAAGGCACCACTTGGAATGTAGTCTTGCGTTAGCACATCAAAATCTTCATGTTAGTAATAGGAACTCCCTTCAGTTCCCAGAAATGTGGCCATATGGAATGAAAAATCTTGTTTTTGGCCGGGTTAACAACATAGAATCTTTTTCTTTGGGTCAAGGGTCAACTAAACTGGAATCAAAGAGAGAAAACTTGAAGTGTTATGTCATGGGGTTTGACCCAGAAACATTGCAGAGATGTGCAAAACTGAAATCTAAGGAAGCGGTAAATTTGATTGAGAAGCACAGCTGTTCACTCTTTGGGGATGGAAAGAAAGGTTTGCTTGAGACTGATGAGGTGATCTCGACATCATTTTCAAGCATGAAGAGGTTGGTTTTGGAGGCAATTGCGTTTGGTTCATTTCTTTGGGACACAGAAGAATACGTTAACTCTGTGTATAAGCTACAGGAAAACTGATGAGAGAGATAGGGAACTATAAATAAAGGTGGAGGGGGTTGTGTTTTTTTTGTTTTGTACATAGGAGTTGGAATCTCTACTTTGGTTTTGTGAGCACCCTGTGATTTCCGGTTTCTGCTTGTACAGTGTATAAAGTTTATTAAATAATAAACAGTTGTAAAATCTGTTTCTACTGTTATTTGTTTGTAATTTTCGTGTCATCAATTATTGCATAGTTAAGTTTGGGGCCATGTGCAATTTTGGGGATCTTCATCTGGTTCGGTAGTTGAAGTAACAAACTGTGAAACTCGAGTTTGCCCGTTTGGTTCTTGATCTGAGCCATGTATTTGTATTAGCTTCTATTTGTGATTACTATGAGAAATGCATAAAACTGTCATTTGGATAATTTAGATTTGTTTGGCACCTGCTAATGTGATACACATTAGGCGCTTTTGCTGGGTTAGTAGTAGTACTCCCCTCGGAAAGCAACAAGTTTTTTAAGTTAGAAGGTTTCAGCGATGAAGAAATGTCCTGGGATAGCCCATGCAAGCAACTTCATGGTGTGACAATTGCTTCTTCGATGAAGCAACTTCCAAAAGACGTCTTTAAAACTTAATTCTTCATAGATGAATGGGTAGCGTGTTCTATAAAATAGTGCACCCCAATTCCGAATCCTAAGCATTGGGTTCATTCTCTTGTTGACCAGTAAATGGTTTTAATTAAAAGAGTTAGTCAAGGATGGGATTTTACTATATATGGGGATTTAGATAGATTTGAAGGCAAAAGTTTCTCTTAAAAAAAGGCCAATTGAGACTTTTTGGTAACTCATAAATGCAACTCTTAATGAACTCAACATGACCCCCATACAGTTTTCTCCTCCGTGTGTTGACTGTTCTTAATGAAGACAAGGCCTCATCTCACAAACATGTATATTGCAATAGAATGATTTTATTCCCAAAGGCCAACAAAAGATGTCCAAACATAATCTTCTAATATATTAACTTTAATTATTGTTTAATAAAATTGTATCTGTGTTCTTGATGATGATTTGTGTTTTAAGTATTGAATTAGTTAGAATTATTCATTTAAAAAGTGTAATGTTGTTTACCTCGAGCTTCCAAGAAAGAGTGAGGACAACAGCTTCTGCTTATAATTCCACACGTCTACTCATCATCTAAATACATCCAACGATTCACCTACATAAACAATTCAAAATTTAAATCAACAATTTGAATGTTTCTCCATAGCGATCTTCCTTCTTTCTAAAGTTATCTTCTTCTACTCCCCCATAACAAAACAATTCAACCAAAAAATGGTAGTTCTTCTTCTCAAATTCATATTATTTCTCATTACCACATTATCAAACCTCGTTACTCGATCAATCTTCAGCTTAATAGCTCATTTTCTTGTGTTATTTATCCATGCATTCAAAGTACCTGGCCAAGCCATCCAGGGTGCATTACAACAACTAGCCGTTATCATAACCAACAATTAAATATTTAACTCTTATTTTTTGTATATATTAATTAAAGATGGGAATGATATTTTTATTAATAATTTACTTTGAAATTATATTAATTTAATAAATTAAGCATTTTTTAATCAAATAAACATCACATTTAATAAGAAAATATTATTTAGTTTATGTCAACAACAAGGTCAAAGATCTCAAAATAACTCTAATTCTTTCTAATATTTTGATGATCTTGAAGATTTGAAACTAATCTATCAAAATACTAATTTGTTATTTTGTTTACTTTGTATTTTCTTTAATTTTAGTGTTATTTTTTTTTTGAGTTATTATAGTTTAATATTTACATTGATAAAATTTTATTTTTAATTTTTTATATTTTTTGAATTACATTATTATTATAAAATATTAATATAATATAATTAAATTACTTAATATAAATAACATATTTTTTTTTTTTACTATATAAACATATTATCCAATTAATGTGGATAACATATACGGTTCATCCGCACCAAATTATCGCAAAAATGGCACTGCATTGGAGCACTGTTTTTGGTGTTTTTTACACCAAAATAATGGAGATCCCTCGTGACTATTCACCCACATGCCAGGCCTATTTTTCTTAGAGGGTTAGCAAGTCTGGGTACTCGCCCAAATCACATGGAAAATCAACCATTTTTAGGATTTGGAGCTAGAGTCGGCGGTTCCTAGGATTTGACTCTAATTGTAACTTATCTTTACTATATAGGAAGAGATCATGAATCTCCAATAAAAGTTGCACAATTTATCAAATAAAGATTACGTATCTATAATGAAACTTAAATATTAAAATATTCCAATATTCTTACACAAATTTCAATAATTATAGCAATTACCGAGTAAATAAGATAAAAGGTAAAGTGAATAACAAAAATACATTATTAAACAAGACATTTTCATCGTTCAATTTAGATTTTGAAATCCTTCTATCGAAAGATTCTTTCTTTTTTAAATAGGTCCACCAATTTATATCATTGAAAATTCTTTCTCTACTTGTAAATGGGTCCCAATCCACATAGTTTTTTAAATATGTTAATATGTTGGATAGTTTTTTCTAAAACTAAAAAGCTTTTTGATGATCAGACTCAGATGCATCAACAACCACAATGTTTATCATTCATAACTGATTGACTGAAGCTCAATGCCTAGCCTTCATATGGGAGCTGCCATAGCTTTAATTGTTGGGTAGGTTCTGGTTTTAAATTTTTGGAACCGTTACTATGTGCAGTTCCGGTTCCAATCTTATAGTTAGAACCGGAATCGGAACCGACTGAAATTAATTAATAAAAAATAAATATAGGGGTTAATAAAACTTTTTTAGAAAAAGTTATGTGAATACATTTATATTTATATTTCATAATATTTAAAGTAAGTTGGTTTGACTTTTGAGAATCTATCTTTACAAAGTAATGAAGTTTGTAATTTTGAATTTGAATTTGAATTTATAATTTGTAATTTTATTTTTGTTAACAAGTTCCAGATGGAGGGGTATTTGTAAGTTTTTAAGGGTTTTTTTTTGCTATTTTAAAAACTTTTGGGGGTCACGTAATTTTACATGATACCCAAACCGATCGTTGTTACAGGTTCTGTTTTTGGGTACCTGGAATCGGACTGTTGGTTCCGGTTTCGATTCAAATTTCAAGTAACCGCGATTCCGTTCAAATTTCAAGTACGTCGATTCGGTTCCAAATTTCAGTAACCACGATTCGGTTCTATAAAAAATACAGGTACCCAGAACTGAACACCCCACTTCTCACTACCAAACACAAGCAGTTGACATTTGAACCTTGGTTTCAAAAAGAGAAGTATAAGCTCAATGAAATCAAAGCTAGAAACAAAGGAGGCCAGCGCGGCAACATCGTTTCGCTCTAAGGATACTGCCATGAGCCCATGAACACCCATGGGCCGCTACTATTTGCCCAGAGTAAAAGTCTTTCAACCATCACCCATTGCTTCTTCAGGTTTCTGGGCGGCCTTAGAATAAGTTATAATTTGCATAGTGATTAATTAATTTGTACATGTTGGGTGTTGGAGCCAGGTGATTGCCAATCCAATGTGCACCATACCATTCGGTGAATGTGTACTTTTTTTTCAAGCGAACTATATAAGTTAGGTTCATATTTTTGTCTCTTTCAATCAAATAATGGAAAATATTTTCCACCTGCTCATTTCTTATGTTTAAAACATTTTCTTTATCAATAATTCATTCGGAATCGGATAAGACATAAAGTTAAAAGTTATCTTACAATGATGGCTAAATAATCGTCTACTGACACCACCAATAAAAAAAAATCCATCCAACACTGCACCTAACCCGTGTATTCACTCACCCACCTGGCAGATGGAGAAATGGTAAACATAAGAAAATACATACACCATAAAACACGAATCGCAGTCTCCCACGATTTTTATAACCTATCAAACAGAGACCCACAAAGTCCAAATAAAACTCTTATCCAAATGGCATATATTGACTCAACTTCCAACTAATCCTATCATTTCAATTTTTTTTTCTGGCTACCATACTCAGTTGATGGACTGTATTCTCTCCCTTCACAGACCGCTCAACGCTGCCGTTTTACCTTTCGCGGTAAAATCCAAAGCCCCCAATTCTTCCCTCCTAATAATTTCACCGCCCGTAGGTCCCCGACAAAGTCTCGTTTTTGCGAGGGCAGGGCCCATCACTGTGAGTTCAGTAGCAGCCCGTTGAACACGCCGATCGAGTTGAAGTCGCGCGCCGGCAAGTTTTTAACAGCGTGTTGCAGAACCACGGCAGTTCTTCATGTCGCGTGTCGGATGAGTTGAAACAGTTGGCTGATGATCGTGACGCGGCCGTTACTCGGTTGTTCCTGAGCACTGGCTCCGATGAGCCTCACTTCAGGTACTATTTTTTTGTGCATGTGTTTGGAGTTTTTGTTGGTTCAATTGATGATTGTGTGTTTGGCGCTGATGAAACTGGATTAGTGTACTCCACTTGTTAGAGTACTGGGTTGTTGTACAGAGTAGTTCTGGTTCGCTATGGTGGTGATTCCTTGTTGGTAAGTTGTGATTTATTGTGGCGTAAGTTTGATTTATCTTATTACTAAGAAGCGGGTGGAATTTTTTATTTTCAATTCTAATTCATCAAAGTTTTTTATTTTTTTTATTTTTATATTATGATGATTAGGGTAGGGTTTTTATGGGTAGAACGGATTTTTAACAACTTATTCATAATTGCGTAATTCGCTTCACTAGCATGGAGTCCCATTCTTCTTCTGTAAAATGATTGCTTTGAGAACTAGAGAATGCTCCTCTTTGAACGGTCTCCAGGAAAATCATGCTTTTCACATGAATGAAGAAGTCTAGATGCTCATGGTGATGCAGAATATAGCTTAAGAAGAATTGTAACTCCCAAAGTGTTGATGATTACAAAATTTTAAAAATAAAAAGGACACTAAGTTAATTTGTGGTTCTGAACCAGGGTTTGTTTGGATAGATTCTTTAGTTATCATATATTGGTCCAAAATAGCTCATTCGATGTGTTGGAGTAAAGCTATGTCAACTATATGATGGATCTAATTTGATAGATCATGCATGATACAGTTAGCATGTTTTCAGCTACCATTTGATTTCTTGAAGTCTCTTGGGTGTTGATAACTCCTTTGAGTGTTTTGGATTGAATTCGGAAGATATGTAATGAGGTCTATATTGTACCGTGTAGTAAATGGCATCAATTTTGTCTTGTTCTCAGACATGTTTAGATATTATTCCCATTCTAGAGTGGAATCCGCAGTAGTATTATTCTGTGATTTTTCATCCATCACTTGTCTCCTCACCC